TGGATGAATAAGCACATTTGTTGAGGTGAGAAGTGCTGTCTCGCAAAATTGAAGCAAATACTGGTAAAGTATCCCCTCTTCCCTCGTTTGCAAAGACATGATGGGTAATCAGATAAAAAGAGCACACTACGTCGCCGAAGTAGAAGAGGGCCGATCAGAAAGACCAAAGTAGTGGGGCTAGAGCCTTAGACTATGGCTGGAAATCAACTGACCACTGCCTCGATCCAGAGTGGTACACAGCCAGAATTGCAGTCCCAGAGTCACTCAGAAGTTCACCTATCACAGAGGACTGTGACAGCATCCAGGTTGAGAAGTGATCAGATGATGCTTGGAGTGAAGAAAGTCATGACAGCGATGCCAGAATCAATGATGAAGAAGACTCGTAATATTGCATGCTATCTGCGAATTATGACATTGCGCTTTACTTTCTTGATATTTGCACTGAGATAATCGATTAAGCATTTTTTTTTTCACAATAGAGAATAAACCTTTAAGCACACAATGCTCATAAAAAGTGGGTAAAAAGTAGTAACCGGAATTGATTATACAAATCTTGGCGGACTAGCCCATATATATTGAGCATCGACCCTATACACGAGGAGTATTTATCGTTCCAATGCTTTCAATATTTTCCTTTATCTTTACACATTCTGAGGTTACATGACGGATACGCAATCACAAACGTTAGGTCTCCCATTATGGAGAATGAGTAGAGAACCAAGATTTTAAAAATATTTACCCAAAGTAGCCTGTTCAGTTGGAAATCCATAGAAACATAACCATAAATGTACATAAACAGAGTATATTGATATAGCAAATCAGTTGATACTGCTCCTCCATAGGGCTCTGCATTCAATTTGTAAAATGATCGAAAATCAAAGTACTTAATAATAAAAATCTCTGATAAGCACAATTTTTGCAGACTTCTTAGAACATTATCATATCAGTCATGATGGATGTATGTCCAAAGGGTATGAAAGGAAGATAAAGAAAGCGAGTGACAATGAGGAGTGGTATAGAGAAACCGCAATCAATGAATAAACATGTCAAAAGGATAAAGAGAGAGAGAAAGGGGTGAGGTAATGAGAGGGGGTTGAGGGTAATAAGAGTAGGGGGTGGTGTAGTACAAGGAGGGCTAGAGAGACTGCAAAATAGATCGATGGATTGAGACATATAGAGAAAGAGCATTGGGGGGGGGGGGGGTTGAGGCAACAAGAAAGAGAGGGGGTTGGCGTAATGAGTGAGAGAGAGAGAGATGTAGTATGAGGAGGGACACAGTGACCGCAAAAGAGATCAATGGACAGAGAAAGAGAGAAGAGGGGGTTACATAAATATGACATATCAATAAGTTACATGTATGACATTTCTTACAACTTGTTGAACATTGCAAATAAAAAGCTATTTAGAAGAATTACAAATATTTGAATCTGTCACTGAGGCAAAAAGCCATAATTGTCTCCATCAGTGACACCATCGCCAGGAAATCCCATTGAGCTGTCTCGTTTACTCTAGGCTAGACAAAATATCATTAAGATTGCAATTAAAACACCAACATTAGGAAGGTGACATGTCATGTGTGATGGTATCATGTGTTCCTCTCTATACATCCATCAAAAAATGGGTCTTTCGGTAGTGATGCCACAAATTGTGTGATTTTGGCAAGAAGACCACAGCTCAGACCGGCAGCAATACATTTTTGCAAGGTCCAGGGACCTCCCTCATTGTCCAAAGAGGTCAGTTGTTCTAGCAAAGGCAATTGAATAAATCTTCTGGGCTGCCGGTCTAACAATGTTTACCCAAGAATAAAAGGGGTTACAAAATCATGAATACAATACATGTATATCGAGGAGTCAGTGACACAAAGTTACAAAGACGTAACTCCATTTTGGCCATTTTGAGAAAAAGTGGTTTTGTGTCACTGAACACTTGGGCATTTAGTCTATGTTTCACTAGCCATTGACTTCAATGGGGTGTTGGGTGGAGTTTAAACTTTGTGTTTCCCTGAATGCCCACATTTTTTCTGAACATTTTGATATCAAATACTCATTTTGGCAATATATGGTTACGTCTTTGTGTCACTGAACCCTCAATATGGTCTTCATATAGTGTACTATGGGGCAGGTCCAAGCTACTTAACATGTGACATACAGGACATATCAGAACTTACACATTATAAGCAATTGTCATGATGTCATAATGAAATATACAAATTATTAAAAAAATGCACTGATAGTATAGCTTTTTGTGAGATTTTCACAAAATTTTGTTTTTAACAAAGACCTTTTTAACAAGGTTTTGAATGCATATGTGGCATGAAGTATATTGACCGGAGAAAAGATAATATTTTCTAAACCAAAATATCAGTTATCATCAAAATGATCTTCTGAAGTTTAAAGGACATATTTGTCTTTAAAAATAAGGATACACTTCATTATTTCATCCAGAAAATTTTGTAATGGCACTCAACATTTATTTTTCTAAGGTATTACAAATCTATAAACTGCTTTGAAAATTATAAGGGACTATCTGATCTATTCTTAAACAGTATTATTAGTTTTTGGCAGACTGTACATGCCATAACTAGTATCCAACAAAAGTGAGTACATGCACACACCTATCATTATGCTGGATATTTCGATTTCAAAACTTTTTACAAATTGTATTAAAAACCCAAGCCTTAAATCCCCACTGCACTACTTGTTGCTACTTGCGCCCTCTATATAGCAAACAATGCCTAATTGGTGACCATTGGTCCCCCATGATCCCCTTTTTCTTATGTTAATTGAGAGCTGATTTGATGAGATAACCACCTGTCAGTGACCATGCATGGATGTCTAATCCCTCCTGGCCAAACTAGTGCAGTGGGGCTTTAACAAAAAGGTTGTGTTCTGGTAAAGGTGAGAAATAAATTGGAAGCTTTCTCATTCTTTTTGTCAGTGCAGAAGAATATCATAGAAGAAATGTCTACTGGAAGGGATTACTATTGATATACCCTCATATAAAAAGGTGATATGTCCCATACATACATTTTTGTGTGCCGTGCATGAGACTGTCAGGATTTAGGAAGATTCAATTTGTTATCATTTTGATTTGCATCAAATCTCATGTCCTACATTATCAACCTTTCCTAAATTGCTTCCAGTTTCATTTAAAAAAAAATCGCAGAACCAGAACCCAACTTATCTTTAATACTTTCTTGTAATGCAAAAAAACTCACTTAATTAGCATAATCAACAATTTTCAAGCTCAGTTTTTCACAATGTTCATATATATTTATACCCACCCCCCCCCCCCCAAGCATGAAAGAAATCTAAATTCAACTTGAATAAGTCACACATAAAAAAATACTATGTCCTGTATGTCACACTACAACATTTTCACTATAAATAATAAGCCCAGAATTCAGTAATTACATGTCGTAATTTAGGAACATATAATAAAATATTTTCACTTCATAGGTGAAGTCCACCCTGGTGTTTAAACATAAAGATTATAGAAAATGAAAATTAATAAGTGTCCTATTTCTTTGTTATGGTATTTATTTTGTACACATGATACAGGGGTCTTGTAAAAGCATACAGTATATCAGTGGTGCATACTGTATGTTTAGAAACTTTCAGAAAAAAAAGAATTTATGATTTTATTGGTGCAGAGCAAATGGAATAAGGGTCTATAGGACCTCGTAAAATATTCCACAGATTTGCCAATTTGAGTTTGATTGATTACAATTTTTAAAAATTCAAATCTTTCTTATCTTTTATCAGATTCAGCTCAAACTTTCAATTACATGTATCATTATGTCTCTAATTTTTCTGCTACTGTTCAAACAAATTTTAAACCAGGGTGGAATTCCCCTTCAAATAGCAAACACTGTCCATTTTTTACATTCAAATAAGTTTGAAATATCGACACTTGAGGAAAATAAAGCTTGGACCCGCCCCTAAGAAATAGGGATATTTATTACTCCTAAATAACATTTCATATGAAAACACAGGAATAGTTGAGTTTTGTTGCAGAGGGCGCTACCTAATGAAAAACTGAGTGTCAAAGTTGAAAGAATGTACAATTTAAATGACAAAATCATCTTTGTTTGATCAAAATCGGTTCAAAGACAGTTGAAATATCCATAAATATAACGATTTCTATTATTTCTGGTGTCCAACAAAATTATTGATAATCTAAACCAGCCGTTTTATACGTTTTATTACAGCCAATGCTGATGATGTTGGCTTTTTGTTGGCTTTTTCGTGTTGGTATGATCGTATTAATGTCATAGCAAGTTTAGGTCCTAAAAGGGCAAAAGAAATGTCATAAATAAGAATAAGAGCAATAACCATGTACTTTGAAGGCACTTGCAGTCTGAAACAAGAACTCAACTATCCCTATAAACTCAAACTCCTAGGTCAGTACTCAATTCAATACTTATGTCTGAAATGGTATAGACCATGCATAAAATATTATATATATATTAAGGCTGTGCATAACAGTGTAATGAGGTACCCGAGTACACTCCCAGGCTCACAAGCGAATACTTGAATATTCGGACACCATGTTTTTTTATAATTTTTTTGAATTTTTTTGAATTTTTTTGAATTTTTTGATTTTTTGATTTTTTTTCTTCTTTTTTTCTTTTTTTGCCACTACCATACCACTCGGCAGTTTCCCAGGTCCCTCGCCGAAAACCATGCAATTTTACTTCGAGTTGCAGTTGAAGGCGCCGATTGAATAAGAATAATAACAGTAAACAATGCTGTTTTAAAAACCAAAGATGGCAGAATAATCCATTTTCCTCCAAGTCCAAACAAAAATCTGGTCCCAGTTTCTGAAAGGTGAGTTTGACAGTGCTTGAGTTGGGAAACATTTTTACTGACAGTACCAAGCCAACGGCTGCCGCTCTCCCTGGAACGGGTAAGCCTGGACATTTTTTAATATTTTTTTTTAATTTTTTTTTTTTAATTTTTTTTTTTTTGCGGCCGAATATTTGGGTACAAGAAACCCGGGTAGTTGTCAACCGTGCGGGTACTCGAGCATTCGACTACCCGTCGCAGCCTTAATATATATGGATTCTGCTGCAGCAAACATTGATCTTGAATAAGCGTAGGGCTCGTGTTCATATCCTCACCACATGGAGCCAGTTCTGGAGGGCTGTCCTCGAGTCTGATGCTGGGAACTTTGAGAGAGCTTGGAAAGCATGGTCAGAGTACTTACAGAGGCAAAGACAACCATCTTGGTCAGGTGTAGGGCTCTTGTTCATATCATCACTGCATGGACCATATCTTGGAGATCTCTTCTGGAGTCCGGATGCTGGTAATGATGGGAACTTTCAGAGGACACAACTGAAAGAGCTTGGGCAGCTATGGCAAAGACACAGTCCCAACCTTGATCAAGCATAGGGTTCATGTCCATATCCTCTCTGCATGGACCATGTTCTGGAGGGCTGTCCTCAAGTCTGATGCTGGGAAAGCTGAGAGACCTTGGAGAGCAGTGTGAGAGTAGCTCAAACAGAGACTCTTGTCTTTATCAAGGGTGGGGCTTTGACGAATCTCAGGTATCAGCTGTAAAAAAGAAGAAGTAGAAAATGGAGGTTAAATGATGGATTCCTTAAGAGCAAAATCATTGTTCTGTCCAGAGAAAACAAGACACAGAAGCAGTGAGCACTTAATAAGCTTCCAAAAGCAATGTGGTAAATAACAAATGAGCTCTGGTAAAAAACAAAAAAAATTGTTAAAATTGCATTTAAACAACAACAAATCGTGAAACAGTTCCGGCGAACAAAAAAAGTATTGTTTAAACTGATACTATCTATATCAGGGTTTCTCAATCATTTTCGCTGATGTGTTTCCCATGAAAGCTAAAAGCTCCGAAACATGGGATGCCATTCGCGATAAAATTCTTAGGGTCATTCGTATACTTCAAATCAAGTAGAACAATTTACTATTAATTGCTGAAAAGCTGGCGAAAAATTAAAAATTATTTAATTTCCTTTCAGACACAATCTACTAACATTTACAGTAATGAGTACACTGGTAATACTGAAGAAAGTGATGCTTGTTCTAATATGTCTATGTCTGATCCAAGGGGAACAGTTACAATTTATTTTTAAAAAGCAGAGCCTCACGGTGGTCCGGATGAAAATGCATGGCCGTCCAGACTTTGTGAAGACCTGATCTATATGATCTCTACTCTTTAGCAATGAGAGACTAGGGTAATTCCATAACAAGAACAAATAAGATATACCGGTAGTCAAATAGTAGATTTAAGATACATGTAGATGCGGTAAGCACAAACAAATGTATCACTTCTGTGACATTTAATTTTACGGTACTCTATTTCTTGTAATATGCCAACAACTAAATGAATATATAACGGTCAATATTGCAAATTGTTTCTTTAGTTTCACACAAAGCACAAATAAAACTTTACAGTTCGAGTTTAAAAACAGGGGGAAAGATCTAAATTTGCATGATATTTACTGAGCTGCCAAGTTATGTCAAAGCTTTGCAGTAATCTCAAATCTTAAACAAAAATCACTTATTTTCAGACAAAATCAGCCTTGGTTTTTGTTTGACCTACCTCTGAACTGGGTGTGGGTCTCGTTCGGTAGTTTGCTGCCCCAAACATCCCGGCGGTCATCGTGACCTACATGTAGGCTGAAGGGGGTGGTGGTGACCCCTACAGGATGAAAGGGCAGGTGGTGGCATGGGAGAGGGCACTCATAGGGATGGTATTTGCCTAGGAATACAAAAGATACAACATATTCAATAACAGCAAGTGATTATCAAATAAAAAAGCTTAAAAGTTTAAATACATGTATTTCAATAACAAAAACAGGTTTGTGATTAAAGTGCTTACTGGTAACTTTATAGCGTACTTATCACCTACAAACATCTTGCTCTGTATGGTATGGGTTCAATGTCGCTATACTGTATTAATTTATGAGCTCCAAATATTAATTTCTACAAAAAGATAATGCAAATCTAAATACACTCTCATTTTACATATAAGCAACTTATAAGTACACTATTCACACATATATGTGCTCACATAAAATATGGCATGGAATGGAACCAAAGCCTAGTGATTTGGGTTTCAGGCACAGAGATTACTCTTTATTCTCTTTATGCTCCTTGACCATTAACCCAGAGAATGCCAGGTAAAGGTTTTTTTAAAGTTAATTTTATGCATTCCAGCTGTACACAGATTTTGTGGGTAATTGGTCCCCTTTAATGATTATTATCATTGTAATAAACCTGATAGAATTAATAATGAAAATTGTAATGTACCGGATATGGCAAACTTGATTAACATTTCTATTTGTTGGATCTATTTCAAATATATACATCATACTTAATTGTCCTCCATTATTTCCATTTTACCTTGCACATTTTGGTAATATTTTGTGTAAACATACTTCTAGCATTCTGGGGCACTTTATGAGATTAAGATAAAAGTTGACACTAGATGGGTGTATTCCAGTGAGATCACTTGAATGTGAAGCGGTTCCAATGTTGGGGTTATAAGTTTTTAAATTTTTAATTTAATACAAGGTAGACTGGTAGATTGGAAACTAAGCAAAATGGACAAATTATTTGAAATGTTTACCTTGAGTAGAGGTTTCATGGTGTAGTGGTTCATTCACTTGACTCTCAATCCCGAGGGTTGTAGGTTCCAATCCCAGCCCAGCAATAATGATGATGATGATGGTGATGATGATGGCTTCGTGTATAGCACCTGTGTCCATCTCTGATGTGCGCTCATGGCGCTAGACATTAATCCACATTTGTCACTGTCCATCCACGTGCAAATGGGCAAGTGTCGGAGCAATAACAATTGCAGGGCCCTCAGGAAGAAGGACATTGATGCTGATGAGGCTTCCCTGGGTTTAAAAAATATATATATTCATCAATCCTATCACATGGACACTGGAGGAAATGTTGAATATTACTAAAAGTATAGCAGAAATAATTTATCTTACACAACCTAGTCAAACACATTAACATTTTTCCCCCTTCATTATGAGTGTACTCAAAGCTTGTAATTTGTAAACATCACATAAAATACATGTAAGGCAACCCCTCGGAGTGAATTTCAACTTCTATATTCTGGTGGGTCTATCTGTTACTCACTGGTATGTTAAATATGAGAGGAAAAAAGGAACCCAAATTAGTCACATGTTTAAAAATATTGAGCAGAAGTTTAATACAATATATTTTAAAACCATTCTACTAAAGATAAAAGCAGAAATGAAAGTTTTTGTTGTTGAAGTTTTCAATGTTTCGGTTTGCTTCACTCTACTTGGTGTCTCACTACATACCTCTTGACGTAGAATTAATATGAGTTCTCTCTTGCGTTGACCCAGGTACCTGCCGATTCTGAAGACTCTTCTTGGAGATGAAGGTGGAGCTGAGGCCAAGGTCTTCTAGGTACGGTGTGCCTCCAGTCCAGTGGTGTCACTTCATATTGACATTGTGTACGCATGATAGTTAGAAATTTTCTAAATATGTAATATTTTGGGGAAGTTTGCGAAGATATTCACAAATTTGAAAGAAAAACTTTTTTTTAAATCTTTATTTTGAAGAGTAAGGAATTCCATGAAAAGGGTTAGAAACTGCGACTCAAATATCACTTTATAAAGCAAATTCTATGAAAAGTATATACTAATTTGTATTTAAAAATACAAAAAATGGATATGTTTTTATGCAAAAAGGGTCCATATTTTGATGGAAACTTTTCTTGAATGGTCATTCTAAACTTGATAGCGATCGTGCGGTACCCCTTTCAATATGAAGTGACACCTTTGGGATCTCCAGCTACTGGCAAAAAATATCTGGGTTCTTGGTCGGCATGGTTGAGCTGTAAATTGATGGGAAAAAAGGAAATATTGGTTTAGTTTTGTCATATGTACAGTAGAATGTCACAAAGATTCACAATCGGCAGATGTATTTTCCAAGAATATGGATACCACTAAGTTTTAACTTTCTTTGCTTACATGTACATACGGTGTATTCAGTCTGTATACAATGTACAATGTTTAACATCGACAATGGCAGTGACAACTCTTATACATGATTCCTCTATACCTTAATTACAAAGATTTGAGAATTACAAAACACGTAACCCTGGCAGCTGTATGCTTGCCAAAGGTTGATAGCTACATGAAGGCCTAAAACCTAATTTTCATGAAATGTGCGTTTGGTGCGCTAAGTAGTACAAGAGGCCGAAAATTTGCATCTTCAAATGATCATGAGATGAACACCTGTATATAACAAAACTTTTTATTAGAGTTAATATTTTTCCAAGCTCTTCATGACAGCTACTAATGTTTTACTCATTGAGTGCATCACTCCGCCATGGACGGACGTGTACGATTTTAGCACTGATTGTTATCAGGTTTTGAGTAGAAATACAGCAGTAAATCAATTTACTCATCAATGACTCTATCTTCCATGGTCTTTGTGGATAGCATTCTTAACAGGATATTGAATCTTCCTCAGAGATATTTAATTGATGATCAGTGTTCGACCTTGTGATCATATGAAATCTGCTCCGCACGCATCACACCGTGAGCTACAACACTTGAAATTTCTTACCATCTCATGCATTACCTACGCTAAATCACAGCAACAGCCTAACTGAATCCACTGTTAATACCGTCTCGGCCGGTGTTTTAAAATTCAATATATTCTCTTTAAGATGATATAAATTTGGAATAATTTCATTCATGGGAAAAGGTTGCACTTTTTGCTTAAAAATGTTCCAAAAAACCCTTTCACGACACTTTCTCTATGGAGGTCAACCGATTTTCGCCCAAAATTTGTCAACTCTCCATACTCATCTTGGCTGTAGATCTGATTAGATGGCCGAATTGCACCGTCTCGCATATCAAATTAAAGCAGAGTGTTCAACGATTCCAGTCATGTATCATTCATTTTAATTGGATAAGAGGAAAAGGTTGCACTTTTGCATCCAATGATTTGCTGTCTCTCATGTATGCTCCTTTTTGCGCAAGAGCATGAAATATGCCACACTACACGAGTTCCATAGACTTTAGAGTTTGAGTTGACAACAAGAGATGAGAGGATTACAAGAATGGAAAAGGAAATTGAGCAATTGAGAGAGCATCAAGATGAAGCAGAACAATATTCGAGGAGGAATTGCCTTATTTTTCATGATCTGAATGAGAATGAAGATGAAAATACAAATGAAATTGTGAAAGGAGTCTGGGAGAAAAAAATTAGCATAAATCTACAAAATGGCGACATCGACAGGGCGCACCGACTGGGCGCAAAAAAGGGCAGGTCACGTGGTATAATCATACGGTTCACCAACTATGACCCCATAAACCGTGTGTATCGAACCCGGAACCTACTGAGAGATCTACCAGGAGTTCCCATCTTCATTCAGGAGAGTTTGACTACATATGTAGGTCAAGGTCTGAACTTTTCAAGGAAATTCAGTCAAACCACAAAAGCAAAGTCAAAAGCATCTGGACCCAAGATGGTCGCATACGTGTGTTAACCAACGGAGGTCATCGCCTTACGTTGACGAAGAAGTCTCATATAGTCAAACTTCAGTCTGCGGATTAACGTTACAATTGGTACAAATAAATTCATGGGCCATCCCGCCATCTTCTTTTTGTAAGTGTGTCTTTATGATTGTAAATGCATATTTGTTGATGTTTTTTTAATTGACGAAAAATAATTAAAATACAATATAATGGCACGGCGAGTGTTTATCAAAGAAACCCCCAGAACGTGAATCAACTCGACCTGTCTGTCAGCTAAAGACCAGACGTATGTCTATCAATCCAATTGAAGAATCAATTCAACCATGCGTCATAAGTAGGAAGACCGACCCTCCACACTTCCGTGATGCTGCCGAGCAACTAGTGACATTGAACCCAATTATTGACGAAAAGGCAAGGGATGCTGACTTCACGTGGAAGCTATTCCATAAACCTGAGGAACAAGAAGTGCCGGATGGATAGGCTTCAATGGCAAGATTTAGAGAACCCGTTCTCCATCTCAGACACGAGATGTGAAGCCACACAGAACTATTCACAGGCCTTCAGATAACGATGTTGTCTCCACATTTCTATGCAGATCTGTTGAGATGGTGGACAAGGTTATGGATTCTGACCATGGCGGAGGCCCATGCTCTGTCTAATCTAATCTTATCAGTTAATTGGCTCTGCCAGATACATACAGGTACATGTACATGACCCCAGTTTGGCAGGAATCAATCGGTCTGTTCTTGGGATAACGCGATCATGAGAACGGGTTATACGGATGTACGGACGGACGGACAACCAAAAAAAATTATGCCTACGGCTACTTCGTAACGGAGGAATACAAAATGAGAGATAACATATACACATTGGAACTTATACTAGGTATCACTAAAACCCAGAAACAACAAGCATGCCAATGCCATTCTTCTGACTAAAGACATCACATTCACCTTGTTAATTCTAGGACCAATTGAGTCAGAACTTACTTTAGTGAGGCCACGGCTTTTAGTTGAGGCTTCCTTGTCATCTCATGAGGCTCTTTGTGGCTCAGTGCTTGTTCCTTCACATCTGTGCGAAGAGGCCACTGCTCAATTCAAAATCTTCCAGTCTGGTGGTTCCCTCTTTCCAAGATGACCCCAGGTCAGGCTTGCTGGTAGGGGTTGTTAGTGTAGCAGTACAAGAAGGCTCCTTGTTCCAGGTTCCGAAAAGCCACTGCTCAATCCAAAATCTTCCAGTCTGGGGGTTCCTCCTTTCCATGATGACCCCAGGTCAGGCTTGTTCGTAGGGATTGTCAGTCTAGCAGGTCCTGTAAAAGAAGACTATACAAATGATTCATGTTTGCAAACTTGTGTACTAGTGAATATGCACTTCCCACAAGTTAAGTCACAATCGGATAATGAACGCGACTTTTCGATTTGTTGAGTTCAGTTGGTGACATAAAGGAAATAAAGGAACAGAACAATTTTAATAATTTGTAAGTCCGAAGATTTGGGAGATAACTGATTGTAAAACCAGGAATTTACGAGACATGAAACTGCCGCAAATTGTTAAGGATCGCTATTTGCACGGAAGGACACTTTTGGAAAATTGCAAAAATTTAGTGTTGTGTCTGTTATGATTCAATTATTTCACAGCATGAAAATTTTGTTAACTTGAAAACACTTACAAAAGCCACTAACATTTGATGCAAGTGACAGTCTCAGGTTCTACAGTAATTAGAAAGGGTAATTCCATATAACCTGCTTTTAGGAAACCTGAATGTCTCACAAACTTTCTTTCATTTCCTCACCATCATGTGTTGATGCATCAGGCTCTTCTTTGACGTTGTGTGTTCCCTTGGTCATCACAGCTTCTTTCTTCAAGATAACACTGTAAGGAACTCCTGAAAAGTAAATTACAATTACACTAATTACAATTTACAATCATATAGCATTCTTACAAACTAACTGTTGTTTCAGCTATAATGTACAGTACATGTAGGTCACCAAGCTGTGAAATGCAGGCAAACATGGTTTCTTGATAATAGACCACTTTGGTAATGCATTCAAATGAATGGACATTCTCTTACAACATACTACGCTGTGACAAGCTACTTGGTTCAGCTGTTTCAAACAGTTGAGCAGTTTCTTTTGTTAAGCAGCATTTGGTATGCATAAATTGTTGTTTGGTCAGATGAAGCTTGACTTATTATTCAAAAGAGTGACAATGACATAGAACTGCTTGCAAAAATCACAGATTTTAGATACTGGAGTGAAAAGACTTTCTGTTAAAGTAGATATTCATTGATTTTAAAAACTAACTTTATTTTCATTATTGCAAAGTTGAAACTTTGATTCGACAAGGTTATCAAAATTTAATGCTTTGAAACATTTAAAGTAATGGTTATTATAAATTACAAAATGCTTAAATACAGCCCCGGCATAGCACCTGAAGAGCTCTCCGAACGCTGCTGAGATGTGTGAGATCACAGTATAGACATGATTTGCACAAGCAGACGATGTCCCATGACATCTCACACATTTTCATCTTCTCTTGAGTTCTTTCTCTTACTTCCCTACCGTCAGGCTAAATGTACATGAATAATCTATTGCCTCACTCTAAACCCCGCGCATCGTTTTATTTTGATGACAAATGCAACGATACAAAAATTAAGGAATCTGTCGCTTGTAAACAAAATAAGACGCCATTGTATATTCAGCTGCACACACTGTGGTATGTTCGACGTTTCAAGAGGGAACAAATGCCGTCCTTAATATCATTCCGGGGGTATTTCAATTTGAAAGTCTGGTTTCTTTGATTGTTAATTAACTCCTACATGTATCTTGTGTATTTACAAGCAAATAATTTTAGTTATCAGAATCAGGTCATATCCCTTTTTGAATGGTTTGACATTTATATACACTACACTAAACTCATTATAATTGACAAATAATAGTTTTGCAATTGGGCAGGTCCAAGCTATTTGGATTGTGACGTACGGGACATTCAGAGACTTTAAACAAGAAATAACAACAGATGAAATTATTTATATGGCTATCTTTTGGTATGAGTCTGTGGCTGTTATGGGCTAGTTCGTTTAAGTTTTAGTTCTGACCAACTCTTTAGTTAATTTTTAATTTAATTAATGTGCCGCGTGATGTATGGGATGCTGCAAACCCCCACGTCACGCAGCACATTAATTACATTAAAAATTAATTAAAGAGTTGGTCAGAACTAAAACTTTCCACAAATGAACTAGCCCATAATAGCCACAGACTCATACCAAAAGATAGCCATATAAATAATTTCATCTGTTGTTATTTCTTATTTAAAGTCTCTGAATGTCCCTTACGTCACAATCCAAATAGCTTGGACTTGCCTAATTATGTTCATTCTTTATGGGATGTCGTCTGCTTGGGCAGTATTGTGATGTCATTAAAACATCGTTATTTTTCTGGCGAATCTCTCGTATATCCCAGCTGCTATGGAGGTGGTTGTATTTGTATTTTTATAAATCACCCGATATGTACATGTAGTTGACCTAAAACTTGTACGATGGCCATCTGTTAGCTTACCAGTTTCTAGTGATACATTACCGTAGTTGACATATTTGTGATTTTCTTTAAATTTCAACTTTAAGCAACTGTTGGCATTATACATGTATGTATTGTGAAAGACAAATATAAAAGCTTGCCCTATTATAACATGTACAGTTATACAGTGCATCTACAATGTAATATGCATTCTGACTGCTGAAATACAATTATTTTAACAGGTGAATTAAATATTTTGTATTGAGGCACTCAACAAAGACATATTAGGCCTACAGTTCATATGTAGATTAAATTTGGTTACATTACAAAATGGCCTACATACTTTCCCTTTCTCTCCTTTTCTTTTTTGACACTGTTGAGCATGACTGCCACTTCAATAGTGACAGCGGTTTTTGCCTGCAAACTAGAATGCTAGTGCTGTCCGAGTCTAAATTGTAAATGAATATTTTTCGGTTAGTGCAATAATTTAACTTCAGCAGCCTTGTTCCTTTTCATTTTCCTTTCTCTTTTATTTATTTATGTTTTACTCCCACTTAATTTATTTTCTTGATCCTGTCGCTTTCTCCTTTTTCCTTTTCTATTAACATTATCATTCTTCTAATTTTTTCCTAGAGTCTAGATCTTTTTAATCCTTCTCATTTCATGTACATGTACGTCCCTCTAATTCCTCTTTCTTTCTTGGCTACTTGTCTTTCCGTCCAATTCAGTTCAAGGCTTCATTTACTTTTCTCTCTCTCTCTTCGCCATGGCATTATCTTTCAACTTTCAAGTGACATTGGCCACTGGCACTATAGGCCTAGGCCTACTGTTTTTTCCTTCCTTCTCTCAGGACTTGCCCTTTTCCCTTCTCGTTTCTTCCTCTCCTTCCCTTCTATGTTGTCCTCCCTCCTCTTTCCTGGTTCTATCCTTCCCTTTTATGCCAACAGAGGTGACACATTTGCAGACAGAAATGTTTAGTGGGACTGGGTCACGTACGTCCTAGACAGAAAGAACTGTCTGATATGGGTCATTTCTTTAATAAAACTGACATTTGTTGACATTCTATAATCGGAGGTCTAGTGGAGCCAGCAAACTGCAAAGTCTCAGTGGAACAACCGACGATATAGAGAGACATGAAGCTTTAGTTTTGGTCTACGTACGTCCCTGTCATTAAATTTAAAGTTGAATTATTAATAATCTAGAAGTCTAGGCCTATTAACAACAATGGTTAAAAATGAAAAAGAGACAAGTTAAAACAATTTTAGAATACGTTGTGGAAAAACTAAAAATCAAATCATCCTAATAGATGTGTACGCACCTTCGAATGGACATGGTGTGATGGGCTGCATGTGCATCGGCATCGGCCAGCAGTCTTCGCAGCTCGGCTCAGCTCAGCTAGCGGGCAGAGTCCCCGCTGGCACGGAGATCTCCCGGCCCACGCCACGGCCTACTCCTAAACAAGACAAGCGCAGCGCTCTCTCAAGTATCATTTTTTAACGTTCTTTGCAATCCGTCTAAGTTCAATTATGATTGCTCAAAGACGTTTTCTCCATCAATTCTTCTGAATCTGCGATCTAAAGCTGCTAAGATACTTTTTATCAATCAATGGAAACTTCTAAAAAAGGAGTCGGTGGCCAATTTTCAGTTCCACTTTTGTACTCCCCGCGATAACATCTGTATATTTTATAGCCTCATTTCAAGACCTCATAGTGCGGTGTGCAGTGGGCAAAAAGATAGGCTCTGTGAAAACAGAAATCTTTGATATAATTTAAATTGAGAAAACAAGGATTAATGGTTCATTATCAAAATGACTCGTCATAATTATATGTGAGATATCTTGGGGAAAGGGTGTAATAATCTTTCTTTCTATAAATTCCACCTCTCTCTCTCAATCTCTATTCCCTCTCTCCCCTCCTTCGCTCTTTTTCTCTCCCTCCCTCTGCCCCCTTCACTCTCTTCCTCAATCCCCCTCCTTAATATCATTCTTTTGTCTGCTTTCATCCAGTTTTTGAATGCCGGTGTTTAAAAATATCTCTTACTCATTATCTTAACATAAAAGTCCAAGGCCTTTTAATTATTCTCAATCAGATGCATCAGTGCACAAATGAATATTTACACATAGTCATGAACAAAATCAAACATATCAAACAGAAAGAAAATCAACTATTTTCTTCAAATAAGCATTTTATTGTGTTGTGTAACAGAGATGTAAAAGATATAAATTGAATAAGGTTAATTAATAATTGATGTCATAGTACACAGTTAAGGACACAATGGTTCAGGAAATCATTAAAGAAGTTGGCCCACGATAAAACAGTATGTCTCGAGTAGGAATTACGGGAATGTATTCTAATACAATGCTGGTAACTAAAATATAGCAAAACTGTTAAGTACTAAATCTAACTTAAAGTTAACATATAAACAAATTCTTCAAGTTGGATAATTTGATACAAATCCAGTGCTTCTAAATCACAAGCTTCTTTCAACTTGGCAGTGCATATAGCACAAAGTATTTAAAGCCGGTCTACTATATAAATCAGGTTCTGATTTGAAACCAACATGAACAACAGACTAAATGCCTTGACTGCTGAACATACACATTGAGAATTCACACAAAAAGTCTTGAGATTAAAAGATAAAGAATGGACCACTTCATATCTTTCATTAATTTACAGAATAATGACATATTCTTTAGAAAAAGAACAATAAAATATCCATGCTATTTGGATATGTACAATGTACAATTATCGATAGGGATACAATGTAGAATACAGACATAGTAGTAATATTGATAAATATCAGGAAAAAATATATAAGCACAAATATTCAATAACAGGCCTCCTGAAATCCTTTATGATACAGGTCGATGAAATTTAATAAACAGTATTGTCACCATTTATGGTAGTTGCACATAGACACAAAAGAAAGAGCAGCTTTCAGTTTACAAGAAGAATATGATTAGTTGTAGTCTAATGTACAGGTTAAAATAGAACTATACAAAAATCAAAACAAAACTGTGCAACCTCCATTTGTTTGGCACAGTATTTAATTATTTTACACAAAATCAAAGCTTGGCTTCACCTAATCATCAAAATCACTAGAAATACGCTGAATTGTACATAATCTGGTTGCTTTAATACTTATAAGCATCGATGCTTTCTCAATATTAATCAGGTAAAACAAACAATCAATCAACAAAATATTACAACCCTGTATCCAAATTTCAGATTGTTCACCATGCAAAAAAATCATAGCGAAAAGTTAGAATACATTTTAGCTTGTGATCTATAATCATTGTTTTTAGAAATTCTTAATTGGCGCTCCTTCTTTGGGGCTTTTTCGTTGTTATTGTAGATTTCGATAGATGTTTGTGAAAGACAATAAATTTGTGACACGATAATAATTGTAACTTGCACTACACCCGAGGGTTGGGGCTAACATTGCGCTATATTACACGCCTACTCCATCAGATATCCACACACACACAAAAAGTTCTTAACTGTAACAGGCCTGAAAGAAAGATTAAAAACATATACAATTAGATATGTAAGTACAGCTAAATGTGCTTACAATAGATCTTATAGCTCTTATAGACATTTTTCATGGTTGAAAATATATACTGTTTAGAGTGAAGCAAACAGACAAGAAATAGTATCACAATAAAAGCTCGTTTGAATATATTATTTGAAAGTTATCTCTTTTTTTACACAATATAATAAAAACATCTTTTATTTTACAGAAATACAAATACAAATCTTAAGTAAATTTGAGATGATAAATGAACATGTAGATACAAAATGATGTAATCAATAGAAAGTACAACGTAAACCCCACAATTTCTTTTGGAAACTCAGGTTTGATCGATCTTTGAAGAGGGTATGACTGCTGTGTTAGTGTAGTGCACTGCATAACAATACCAGATAATAAACTTTTACCTACAAAGTACATAAAACAGGGACTATTCTTCACTCGGCTTTAATAATAAATCCTCCCACAGTTTTAATCTATTTATTATTCATGATATTCATTCACACAACTGGTATATAATGGGTATTATATCATACCTTAGATATCTATCATACTAAATTTTGTTAACATAGAATCATAATACATGATACATAGATATATAAAGTTTCACTGTTCATAATTGACAATTTTACCCAAAAATATTTGCATCAGGACGTTCAAAAATATGACAAACATATACAAATATAAAAAGACTAAATATTATGGTAATATAAATCTTCTTAATAAAACTTTCATTTTTTCCCCTAGCTCTGCATATGACATATAAAGGACATAAGGTTTTCATAGTTACAACATCGCTTGAGACTATTTATACAATCTTTAGAGTGTAGGAAAAAGAATAAAACTTTAAGGAAGAAACTGACAGAGAATTTGTTCAACAATTAGAAAGAAAAAATACTGGAAATGGAAGGGAAAAGGGGGGAAAAGTTTACAAAATGAACAAGGAGAAGAGGTGTTAACTCTGTATTAAAGAATATAAGTGAGTGCTCTTTTGGCTTCAAACTGACGCTATTATCTTTGAAATACATATGGTTCATTTGTACAGATTGTGCACATATAACCTCTTTCTACCAAACAAGTTTTGTGCAAAATATTTACTTGAACAGTGACTTCTTTACACACATCCTTGAAACTGCAACATGTTTCTTTATCAAGTGTATTCCTGACAATGGTAATGGAAAGATGTATTCGATCTTAGTTTATACATCAGTTACATTCGTAGGAATATATATTTTGTTATAAGTTTAATAATTATCCTTATTAATTCTCTATAAAGGATTGTAGTTTTAATATTCCACAACCTGATTACCGTACAGATGACAGGCAAGATTGAAGATAAAGAGTTATTGAAAGATATCAAATTTCTATTTAAAAAATCTGAGTTTCCCAATATTTGCAATTGCTAGAGGCTTAAGGTCAAGACTCTTATCATTTCAAGGTTATCCAATGACAACAAGGCAACAGTGAGATGTAAAGTTGATAGGTTAGAGGAGAATGTTCATATATTATTTTCATTCGATGCATAGAGATTTGTGAATACATGCACAGTTCATTTCTTTCTTGGACGATATAAATACTGACAATTACTTAGCATGATTGTGTTGTATACACTAAAATATGATAGGATACATCCATGATTCTATATATCACATAACTATCTCGATGCATATGATTGAAAAAATATACATGCGAAATATGTTATTACACAAAAATATACACTATACAATACATTTCAAAATTATTCTTACTTTTTACAAATAGTCAAAGAACAAATATAGCATTATCATTACAGGGCACCATCTGTTTCACCTCCTATTCTAGGGACATATGTGACCAAGCACTAATCAGTGCAACAGACTATCAACATGTATACACAGGTTTAAATGCCATAATTATAAAACATGATCATCTTAATAAATGGCTGACATGATTCAGATAAAGAGATCCAAAATACACACAGACGCTGGTATTTTTGTTATATCAACATTATCTCTGTACATTTGGATAAATTTAGGACCAATCTAAACTCAACAAAAAACAAGTATTGGTATAATACTTTGGCATATTTGGAAATGTTGCTGTCTAAGTATCATTTCTACTTACCATGGGTATGGAAAGAAAGAATTTACTTTGTAAAAATTTGATCTCAAAGCAGGCCTGTCTCAAAGCAAGACTATTTTTTTTGGAAGTATTCATATGGAAAGTTGGCAATAACTAGGATGAGATTTGGCCATGTACATGTAAGTATCAGGAATGACTACACTGGAATACAGGGAAATATTGGCGAACTTCAATTTATCATGCAAGGAATGACAGTGTTTAATAGCACCGGGGTCCAGATAACTTGAATAGCACTAGGACAAACTCGGCATGGTGCATTAATCAGGTATTAAGAATTCAGTGCCAGATGCACATAATTATATGTCTTGTTTACCCAGGGTAGCCTCATCAGTATTCTCCTGTTGTTGTTGTTGTCAGGTCCCTGTTATCACAGGACCACTATTAATAGCATTAAAAGTCATATGTTGTGGAATTTCACATGATGATATTTCTACCATAACCTCTTTACTATTTACCCAATTCCTATCCAATTATTTTGTTTAAGTTGTGTATCACGTACTCAATTTAAAATTTGAAACTAAACATTCACATATGTGTTGATGATATATTCAGATCTCTGAACTACATGTACATGTAACAAGTTTTTGCAAAGTCTGAGATGTCCCTAGTGCAAAGTTGGCCCAGAGCTGTAAGTGCTTCTCTTGGACTTTAGGCATGTTTATATTCAAGCTAGAAACAAATTGCAGGCATATTGATATGATTGAGATAAATGTAAATTGATTATATAAAAAAACAGAATTCCTGAGCATATCACAGTTTATATTATAATCCAAAGTATCATGTAACATTCGTGCCTCCTAAAAAAATTGGGGTCGGGAAGAAAAATATCAATTAAAGTTTCAAAGTTTTGGCTAAACAATAATTCCTGAGTAATATTACATATACTTGTGCCTCATCTTGAATATTCTAATATTTGTTCATTTGCTGTTCTGGTTACTTTCAATCGGTTTATGCCTATCACATTAAGTGATACTCAATCTACATATTGAAACAAGGAGAAAGAAAATCAATGGATGAACGTTTTTGATTCATTATACGACCATCATACTCTGGTAGCTGGATTAATGTAAATGTTAAGCGTAAAATCAATATCAAAATGTTAATCATACAGACCTACAGTGTATGGCAAAAAAGTTATCCTACAGACTATTTGTATCAAAAAATTGATAGAAAAGTCTGCCCCATGGGATCCTTAAGTCAACCAATGCCTGAGAAAAAGTAGTTCTTGTATCAATGACTTGTCAGATCTTAACGATAACAATCAATTGTTACCTAATCCTGACGAGACACAAGGGACCCAATCAATGAAGACTACACTCACTGATAATTCTCTATTCTCCAATGTTCTCGACAGAGTCTGCCTCACCTAGCGTCAGGTTGCCGTTGTCCAGGATCAACTGCAGCATCCTCTCCATCTTATCGTTCTGTGACTTAACCTGTTTCATCCTCCACTTGAGGTTCGCTACCGTGTCGCTGATGACCTCCTGCTGCGCCCCGATCTCCGCTAACTCACCCTACGATAGGAAACAAAAGAACATTAGAAGATACAGTGAAACCTGTCTATAAAGACCATCCAAGGGAGAGAAAAGAGGTCTTTATAGGCAGGTGGTTGTTATGTACAGGTTCCTTTAATACATGTTTCATTGCGAAACCATTTTTAAGGGGGAAAAAAGTGGTCTTTGTAGACAGGTGGTCACTAAAGCAGGTTTGACTGTATTTTGAATATAAAAAGGTTTTGCACTTGCAAAACTCACCCTATGATAACAAACAAAATCATAGTGGAATGTAATTTGAACGAAAAGAAGGTTTGGCAAGTATTAAAACTTTAGTTAGTACAAAATCTTCAGAGGCAAAAAAAAGTTATAACTTTCCCTTTTATTTAGCAATAATTAATTATCACATAGATACATTTATGTTGGGCACATATCAATCCCAGGGGATTCTCAAGACACCTACCAAGGACTAGTAGTACCCTGGATTTAGCCAAGACACTCAAAGCATTAAAAATATAAATTCCTATCGGGTACCCATTTACTACACCTGGGTGGAGAGTGGCAAGTGTAAATTAATGAAGATTGATTTACATTGTGGAATAACTTAGATAAAATATCAGTAATAATAAAATAATTGGATAGCAAATTTGTGCAGATTATATAAAATAAACAATGATAATAGTAATGGCAGCAAGGGTTCTGCTTTAATAGTGACCTACCTTTTCTGGGTTTAGAGCAGTTTCGATAGCTTCAGTGAGAACAAAGTCATAATCTCCCCTCAATGAAGCATAGATTCTGCTGAACATACTGGTAGCAAATCGATTGGGGTAGATTCTCTTTGTCTTGATGATGTAACGCCTCCAGATAAAGGACGGTAAGGCTTCTTGTACATCCATGGCCAGATCAACCTAGGAAATGACATTGAAAGGTTTACAATCATAAAGTTATCAGGATAAATATCATTAAGTGCATGTATAGTTGCAATTAAAGTTAATACTTTTTTTATTGTCTTACTAATTATTTCCAGGTACAATCTTCTAAGAGAAAAAGTATTGCACTCACTTAAAACTTTAGCGATTAACTAATGGTTATTTGTCTATGTTAACAATGTAGTTCGTAATTTACTGGTATATAAATGTCAGAGTCTTATGTTTCGCAAATGACTTCTGCCACAAAAAAGAAACATAGTCAAAGTAGTACAGTACTCTCTTAATTTATAAGACTTATTTCTAAGTGTGAAGGGTAGTAGTACTACTACTTCTTTCATTTTTTTTCTTTTGAATTCCATTTCAACTACAATATAAATCATAAAATATGAGAGCGTATTTTAAACAATCTAGGCAACACATACAGATATCATCACATGCAATGACTTTACCGAATTGCTGGATTTGAGCATATCCGCCATCTCCGGATTGGTGCCGGTACTGATATAGCTGGATAAACTAGGTTGAAATTCAATAATCATTATAACTCTCTTACCTGCATAGCAAGTCTCTGTAATTTGGCTTGTTCCTGAACCTCCTTGATGTCATCTACTGCCAGACCAACCTGGGAGAGAATGAAAAGAAACAAAAGAATAATGAAAAGATCCAATATACACTACCCTATGCTGTATCTATATATTCCCACAGGAATATTCATAGTGCAGAAATAAAGTGCATTTCAATAATATCATTTGCATTTTATTTATTTCCAATAAAATAAAATAAAATACATGGGATTACATTGTACATAGTGAAACAATGAAACTTAACAATTTATAATTGTAATTGTAATTGTAATCGTTCTACAGTGTACAACAGGCATTGAAAACAGGTTGGTCATGGAGAGGACTGCTGAAAAGCTGGGCTTGTAGATTGCATCCCCTTATCGTGTATCAATAATATTAAGAGAATGCACAAATAATAAATGTGTGTGTCTCTCTCTCTCCAGAACCCCTGGTTTAACATACAACCCCATTCACCTGCTATGCATAATAGCATCTCTATAGTTGGAATCCACTTTGCATACACTGACTGTTGCTATGTCTGGCAATTCTCTGACCAGCTTTTGGATTTGTTCAAGAAGCATGCATGATTAGACAACAGGTCTATTAATTCAAAGTGACGTCATAAATCCCAAATATTTGTGAATCGATTCATAGTGGATTGGGGGAGGGGGTTATATTCATCCTTGCATGCATCTTGATGTTGTGCATAATTAAGTGTTGACTTATAACCAATTAATTACTGATTTCTCGTATTCCCTTAGACTTTATACGAGGGCCACCTGGTTCCCGTAGAAAATGGCCTGAATTCAAGTGTGTTTCAGACCAAGAATTGTCTGAACCTTGGTCTGAAATGCATCGTAACCTAGGTTTGTCGACAAACCTCCTCTGTGAATTCGGGCCAATGGATTCATGACCAAGATAGCACTGACATCAGAATTTTAATTACTGATCTGTACACAAACATGTAAGCCAATGCTGCCACATGATTGACTCTAAATAGATACTCTCCACCAACACAGATCTCTACACGTGGGACTCACCAGTAAGTTCATGATGATGATTGACATGATGACCACGAAGACCACGAAGATGATGTAGGTGATCTCCTGGTAGTAGACGTGGCCAACGAAGTCCTCCTGATTGGTCAGATCAACCTCGGTCAGATAGTCTTGGGTGTGGAAGATGGAATCAAACTCAAACTCACCGATCATCATGACGAAGGTCTTTACCAGGGAGTACTCTACACGGTTGAATGGAGACTGCAAACAAAGAAATCAAACAAAGAGGATGTATTATCCCAGTAATAGTATACAAATAATACACAGCAGTGAGGGCATTAATAAGAATTACCCACACAAGGTACCTTTGGAACAGTCTAACATGCCTGAGGCGATAGGTGTTTGGACTGAGGGTGTTTGAACTGTTTCAAAGATAACGAGTGTGGGTTATTTTACTAATGCCCGAACAAAATGATGTGTATCATTTGTTTGATAAGGTGATGTTTCATTTCTTTTATAAATGTTACGTGTTAGGCAAAATAAATGCCTGGTCACGTGTACGCTCTCAACCAATCATTTGATTAAGATCCGCTTCATCATCTTATTAACACCATAAACACTTCTGTGCTTTCCTTGCCTCTCTGTATGGTCGCTTATTAGCGCATGCGCAATAAATTCTACTGCACGGCAAGTCCGAGCTAGTCTGTCTCATATTCTACTGCGGTGACCCCATTTAAAATTGAAGATTATCTTTTTATTGTATGGAGTATATAAAGTGAAACAAATATATACGGTGTCAATGATAATATAATAATAATAAAAACAATATTCCATGTTTATCTAGGGCTTAATTCGACGATGTCTCTAAGCGCTTTACAGATATATTATTAACTCGGTCATCGGATTTAGGCTTGCCCGCACACAATGTATGCACATTCTCCACCCCCGCCACAGTCTGACGACTTATCCACTAGACCACAACACCTCTATGGAATGACATACCTGATTCATAAGGAGAGCGTAGAAGGCCAGTGCAAAGGCAATGATGAAGAGGATGAACAAAACCACAAAGTTGGCAAAGGTCTTCAAGATATCTGAAATGATCAAGATAAAAAATCAGGGTAAAAATTCATTAAAATTAAATAAAAGCTCATATCAATGTTAATACTGAACACCTGCATGAATTTCAGTGACAATTTCAATTCCTATCATTATCATTTGAGTAAAGGGTACACTAGACCACAAAGCTTATCAGAATTTGATCATTATTATGCTGTGGGAATTCAGTCCATTATTATTTTTGTTCCAAGGGAAATCCCCCTCTATAACATCAATTTTTTTTCTCAAAAAGGAAAAACAATCATTTATAAACCCATCATCTTTATTTCTTTGAATTCAAATTAAGCTGTGGGTAATTTGATTTTTGATCAAAGAAACTATTAAGGGCTAGTCACTATCAATGACAACGATGAGTTCTAGATAGAAATTCACCTGTAAACATGACAACGTAGATGCCGAGCTGAGGAAACTTTCTGATGAAGAGAATAAGGTTGATCCAAGCTAGGAAGATACCTGCAGCACCACACTGCCACTGCCATGCCTGTGTGGTAAAATCATGAAATAATAAAAACAGTTTCAAGATTCAAATCATCTGGGAGAGGGGGGGGGGGGGGGGGGGGACTAATATTTCATTGCGATCCCATACTAAATATATCATAATCCTTTCATTGGCTCGTGAATGTATGCAAGCTTTCAGTTCACAGCAATGGCATCTTGATACCCCTGTCACACCGAGAAGACCGACACCAATCTACTGCTCTTGGCCATTTGGGGTAATTTTAATTTTTTTTCTTGTCCTTTCTATGCTGTCACAATTTTTCAATTTTTTATCATAAGTGAACTTTAGACAGCTAATATTTGACCTGTGATGATTCGTTAATTTGTTTTGTTTTGGTCATGAAATATCTCCAATGAGGGAAGAGAACTTTACAACATAGGTATTTATTTCTGTTTTGGGAAGTATGTGTAGCAATTCGTAGCTAAAAACATATAGCTGAACAATGTTTTCATTTGGGGGGGGGGGGAATGGGCTGGATTTGCTGCCCATTGCATGGAAAGGGTAACGTGAAATGCCTTCGAGATGATTGCTAACTGCATATGCTGGCATTTTAGGTGACAGTGCAAGTTTTTGCTCAACGAAGGAGGGATTAGACCTCTCTGCAAGGTCACTGACAGGTGGTTATCTCATCAAATCAGCTCTAAATTAACATAAGAAAAAAAGGATCATGGGGGACCAATGGTCACCGATTAGGCATTGTTTGTTATATAGAGGGCGCAAGGAGCTATAAGTAGTGCAGTGGGGCTTTAATAGGAGTAGAAGGAATGGTGGAATACTTGCCTCTCTAACCCTTATTTCGCCCGCGCCATCTCCGTAAGGGTACAAGTATGGACTGACAGGTGCTACGAAGAGAATAGCCAGACCGTAGACGCACCATTCCAGCAGGTTCTCAAAGCCCAGGTAGTTCAATTTCTGATGATAGATCTGAACAACCTGGAATAAAAACGTCACAACAGGCAAGGACAAGTGTAAGCAAAATAATAACATCCAAATTAGATCACAATTATGTTGAATATTTATCATCATTGTATTTATTTACGTTTACTATATAATTATACGGACTTTCAAAATCTCAGATATTGTACAAAAATCCTCATTAACATGTTATGACTGCGAGGATTTAAAATGGATTGTTAATGTGGTGCCAGCCACTGAGAAGTTTATCCCAAATCTAAACTAAAACCCAACTCTATATCTTTGGCGAGATGAAACCTGTGGCAAATTGTCTCTGGAGCAAATGTGAGATCACCTTGAATTAGACTTACCTCTCTCAGTAGATTTATCCCAGCAAGTGCTATGATGAGCCAGTGACCAATCTCCCCAAAGACGAAGAACGTTGCATTGCTGTACGACTCCATCCAGCGCACCTCTCCATCAAAGTTGAAGACGACCTTGGCGTCCGCCGTGATGTTGTAGTAGAACGGTGGAGGGTTGACCACCAGGTAGCCGGTGAAGAAGGTCAGGAAACAGAGGTAGAAGAGGAGGGAGGAGTAGTAGAAGAACCGACCGTAGTTGCTCCACTTGTGGTTGAGGAGACTCGTCACCAGGGGGTGTCCTAGCAACTGCTCACGTTTGGATCTCACCTATAAAAGGAAGAACAAAAATGAAGATACAGTGAAACAGGCTTTAGTGACCACCTGTAGAGAAAGACCATGGCCCTCTTGCACAAGGAGCCCAGTAATAAACACCACCTGCCTATAAAGACTGCTCCCCTTGTCTCCCCTGAGAGGTCTTTATATGCAGGATTCATTGTATCATGAACTCCTTCCTGTAGGTCCCTCTACATTACTGCAATCTCTAGAAATAGTATTCCAAGGCAAGTAGGACATCTTAGACAGTCCTTGGAGAAGGATCGGTGAACTTGGATTTCATACTTATTCCAAGTTTTCATGGATTTAATAATGCTCACCACATATGACGTTTGTTAATGAGAAACTAGGGGACTACTCAAACATGCAACACTCTCTTCACATTTCATTCAATGTGGGTCACTAAAGCATGTTATTTCTAGATTTCTCTTATTATTACGTATATAATAATAATTATAAATATTTATACTGCTCATATCCGAATCCATGCTCTCCCGGATATTTCTATTTCTACCCTCTGGACTATCTTTAAAGATGTATCCTCTTTCAAAATAAACTTGCCCCTTGAGATGGATCCAACCCCTACATCTCCAATGGGAAAACCCAATCTTCTTATTCAAGGTACTATAGGATGGAACTTACCATTATGACAAGAGGGTGGTTTTTTCTTATGGTTTCAGCACGGGTGGTGTATGGTGTTGCACTGTCCCTTAGTTGGCCATTGTCTTGGAATGGCGAGTCTGAACCTTCTGACCCATTATCAGATAAGTTGTCTGTTTGGATTCAAGTCAACAATACAAATAACAATTATTTTAATATCGATTTAACCCTATTTAGCCCGGGGGGGGGGGGGGGCTTGAGAAGCCCCCCCCTCGACATTTTTCGCGATAATTTTTTAATGCAAGAAAATCTTGCACTGAAATTTTGTGACTTTTTTCTTTCGAGTCTTGCGCAACTTTTGAAAGAAATTTTTCGAAAATCGGACCTACCATTACAAAGGCACGTGTCCTTTTGTCTTCGCATGTCAGCCCGAAAATCGCTCATTTTTGTGATTTGTGTACAAAACATATGGAAATCTCATTTTTCAAATAAAGAGGTAAAACATTGGTTATTTGGTCTTGTTTAGATTTTAGGTGTTTATTTTGGGGTCAAAATAGTTGAGTTATAGTTGGAAATGAAATAAAACAACAAAAACAATAAAATACATAAGTTAAAAAAACAAAGAAATACATAAGAAATTATCAAAACAATAGATAACATAAGGAATAACCCTGGTTTTTCAAATTTTTGTGTTGTATTATTATTCCAAATGGTCTAACAAATATATGTAGTGAGAAAGAATGCTTATATGTAAATATGAATAATGTCTGATTTATGGGCAAAAATGTGAATTTAATGACCTTATTTGCATAAATTACCATAAATATGCAAATGAGTGAATTTTTCAAAAAAATTGAAATTACCATAGTATTCTATACACTTCACTTAACATGTATGCAAATTTTCGCGGCGATCGGGCGTTTCACGGCCGAGATCATAGGGGGGGGGGGGCCTTAGAAGCCCCCCCCCCCCCCCGGGCTATGCAGTTTCAAAATAGCCCGGGCTAAATAGGGTTAGGTTAAAGGGATTGGGTATCTTTGTCTCAGATTCTAAACAAAATCCTGGATTTACATATACCTGTAGCTCATGCTGCAATCATGATTATAAACCTTTAGGTTAGTCAGAAATCCCATGACGTTTACAAGCCTATTGCCTGTCTGCTATCAAGATATTTATCCAGATCTTAGATTTAAGTACAGAATTAACATAATTCTAATAGATTTAAATAATTTTTATGAATATTCCTTTTTGAATATGATTTTCTTTTTACATTGCTTGCATAATGTACATGGCAGGGGTATAATTATATTGTATTGTGTTGGTTTATTGGGATAAAAATCATCGAAAATGCAGCTACATGTAAGAGCTGGAGTTGTTCAATTTACACAGTAAAAAGTACATGGCATGAAATCACATTGAAAATTCATTAAAAGATATTTAAACTGAACAAATGTTGTGTCTATATGCAAGTGAGTTAAAAAGATTCATTGTTTATATAAAATTGCCATTTGTTTTAAGTAAAACAGAAATCTTAATAATACTATACATGTTTATTGCAACAATGACAAGTATGTATGGCCCATTAAAGGGACTTTGTAACATTGTTCAGATGAGAGATAGTGGTGCTAAGGTAGTGACTTCAATGCTAGAATTACAATTAAAGATAATGTGAAAATTTGAGCGAAAACGGACCATTATTCATGGTACAAATTGGGAAAAAGTGATCCGATCGATTCCTTAATTCTCCCAACTATATTATTACAATTTAATTACATTTTACGTGAAAGGAAATCTCACAAAGCAATAAAATGGCTCTACATTCCATTCCAGACATTTAAGTGTTGACAGATTTTTTATGGCCTGTTTTTATGTCTTTTTTTCATGGAAAAACGGTTGGGAAAATTAAAAAATGTTTGGGAGAATTTCGATTCAGAAGCGCCACACATCGACGCCCGTTCGAAAACCCGTAGAACTTTGTTTAAAATCTTCATATTGCGTGAATTAATTTCGGATTTGGGGCATCGTAGTTGGATAATCCATACATACAAACATAATTTTACGTGCTTTGCATCCTGATTCAACCGATTTGTGAAATCAACCATCACAATGTTACTAAGTATCTTTAAGACTGAGAAAGATTGTGATTGTGATATCACATGTACATCAGAACATTACGTAATTGTGCATACATTGTTGTGCACATATAAACATTTTAACTTACTAGGGGTTAATATATGATTATACATGCACATCTATATCTACACAAATCATATTCAAAATAAATTAACATAAATTTACTAAATTTAAGCTTATCTAGACACATTGCACAAGAGACAGTTACAATTAAAAGAACAGTTACTAGTTCACACAGCACTCAGCAAATAAAGATAAAAATGCTCAAATTAACTTGACTAAAAATTTCTACCATGCTAATTTCATTATTTATTTAAAAAAAGTTAATGAATAAACATCACAACTTAGTGCCTTGTATGCAGAAGCAACAGGTGAACAGCTAAATGGGGGGGGGGGTGTAAAGGATGGGATGAAATCTATATTTAAAAGTCATATCAAAAATCATATCAGAACATTCCAAGTTGACTTATAATTGCCAAATAATCAATCTGTTTTGAAATTTAACTTTACATTAAACTTGGTTACTTTGGATAGCTTCCGAGTAACAAGATCCTTTGTTTTAATATATCTCTGATATAGTGGAATTTAAGCAAAAGTCACAGGGTATACTACCGGAATGTCCCATTTGCAGGCCCAAAAAACGAAAAGGTTAAATTCGAACGGCATTTGAAAGATAATACAATTTAGAACTTCCCTCAAAATGAAAGGGCTTGAAAATGTGTTTTAGTGGGAAAATAACAACCATTAGTTATTGAATCGACTTGAGTGACTGCAATCCATTTTAATAGTACCGAATGGTTGTACTTTTTGTGCTGCGCAAAGATTCAATCTGTTTATTTTGGCCATTATAAGTAGTGGGTTATTGATGTAGACAAATGATCATGTACCTGTTACAGCTCATTTTATGTATGTTGGTAGCAAAGAAAAAAAAGTCAGTCAGTCACTCAATAGTGTCTGACAGTGAAGTCTACGTAAACAGGATTCCTTGCACAATTTGAATAATAGGACACTGCTAAGTCTTACATTTCACAGATAGGACATACGTGACATATTCATAATTCCTGGAAATTTCTACAGAATTTGATGTTGGCTGCAAATGGGACATAGTACCTTTAATAAACAAGTTTCACTGTGTTACAATGACACATAATTAATGGAGTGTAAGTGCACACTGTCTACAAGAAATGATTTAAAGTGACAATACAATATGAGAATGTTAAGCAGATATTAAGATAACATTTAACTCTTCATTATTAAGCAGCACATGTCTCAAACACAAGATCTTACCTTTACCAAAGTGACCTTAATTTTTTGAAAGCATTTAGGTAATTTAGCATTTTTATAGAGAAAAGATTTAATAAAAAATGGATGAAAATATATAGCTTACAAAATTATATCCATTAGCAACACCAATTATGTTCTTGCCTTTATAATCCATCTCCATATTCATGCATAATTATTTTGTGAGCTGTTTAATTTTTTTTTTTAATCAGCGAAAAAAATAAATGTCAATTTGAACTTTAAATAATGCAAAGGAAGGAAAATACAATAGGTTCAGCTTTTAATGCACAATATATCCTTTTCTTGTTCCCATGCATATCATATTACAAGGTACAGGCAGCATTCCCTTTTCATTGCAGAATAATATAAGAAAAATCATGAAGAGGATAATAAAAGAGAAATCACGAAGAGAATAATTTATACATGCTGCAGACATCATAAGGTGATGCAACTAGTATACAACCATTTTGAAATATTATTGAGAATCAAGCCAATCGGAGCAACATTGAATTCTCATTTCTGCTTAAACTCTTTGAGGGCTGGGGGCTGGCGACTACAGAGCTAATTTCAATCAAACGAATGTCAAGTTGGACTTCCACTTTAATCTCTCTATAGGCATTCTTCTGCCTAAAATGATGATAAATTGACCATTTGGAAAATAACACTTGTACAAATGACCCCAAGATCCTCAGATCTTTTCAACAAGGATAAGTCACACTTTGTGCATTTTAGAAAAATCACTGCCAGAGTGATGGTGGTGCTTCACGAATACCTATTGTTTGCCCTCTTGAAAAGCATACTTTCACCTGTCTATCATAGAATGCACCGTCTATTCATAAATGAATACAAATTAAATACTTTGATGTACAGATACCTAGTATTTGTCTAGTTGGCCAAAATGGAATTAAGTCTTTGTGTCACTGACCCCTCTATTATGAGAGTAATCTGTCTCACCTGAGGTATCTTCACCCCATCTGGAGAACATGTCATCCAGGAGCTCGTAATCAACCGTGATGCAGTAGTCCCTGTGTTCCCGGGGTTTGTCGTTCTCAATCATACAGTTGTTGAATACCTTCGCCGCCACCTCTGAAAAGGTGCAAAAATGTTTCATTATATCAAGGTAAAATATTGAGATACAAACTAGTTCATCTGTAGAATAATCAATATGTAGCATTGCATTGCTGACAATTACTGGCCCTAGTATCAACAATGCTTCTTCTATATCATAAACTCCAGATAGCTGCTGACTTTTGTTTTCTAACTCCATCACATGAAAAACAAATCATAATTTATCGCTGTATTAAAGCATTATACCTCTTTATGTCGACATTTTCTATTACTCCTTGGAATTAATATTCCTGTGGAAAAGTAAGACTGTAATAAACAATCATGCCATGAAAATATTTTCAAGGCCTTTTTAAAAATGATTTTCGAATGGGTGTGGAAGCTACTATACAAAATGTTAAAGTTGTATTCACATGGGAGCTACTGTACTCTATTAAATATTCATGCTATATAAGTATCTTACCAGGCATTTTCTTGATGAGTTTTCTCATTGGTGTGGTCCTTTCCATGGTAACGGCATCGATACTCTCAGAATTCAAAGCATCTTTCCACTTTGAATGAGAGATGATCGCCATAGCAACATCCCTGCAAACAGAAAACAAAAATTTACATCGTCCAGTTTAATTCAATTTAATTTCAATTACCGGTATATATTTTCCACATTCCAGTGAGAAAAAAAACATGCAAAATACAGAATGATGTACCTTTCATAAAATAGAAAGGAATACACAAAGAAACAAACACATAAACACAGTCAAATAAAGGACAAAAAGGAAATTGACCTGAAAATGTGATGAACCTTTATGTTAAAGGTAATACAAAGTTTTGGTTTGGGGTCATGAATTTGGTTCAAATGAACATATTGGAAGCATATGCGATCCCACAATATTCAGTGATTGTAGTCGCGGTTGAAATCGAGTTGAAAGTGATGAAATTTTAAATAATAAAGTCTTTATGTTGCATAGCTCCCTCTCAAGGTCAAGAAATTAATTTAGGTTTAAATAATGTTTCTTGACTAAAATCGAACGATTTACTATTCCCTTTTGGAAACTATATATCACAACTGCATATTCTGAGATTTTCATGGTCGCAGCCAAAACTTTGGATGGCCGTATAAGCTATTTGAAATTTATCAAAATTTACCGGGAGCACCGGTAAATTTTTATATTCAATTTTTCTCGAAGGCAGAAGTGTTTTAGGGGCTAATTTTTCTAGTGCTTCTAATACATCCTCAGGAGCATCCGAATATATCAACATTTTAAAGAATCGTTATCCGGCCATTTTCAAAATTTCCCAAAACTTTGTATTACCTTTAATTCTGGTTGCTGTTATAACTTTTTGCACTGTGCCCCCTTCCCCTACCACTTTAAAAAGTCCTGGGGCCTGTTTCACATAGCCTTTTTTTCGATGACAAATGACAAAAATCTGTGACAAATCTCCTGATAACCAATTAGAAGCAAGGATTTCAGTAGCTTATAACAAAAACTATCATTTGTCACAGATGACAAGTTTTATGAACCCCCTGGATCCACACTTGGAGAGAGTAGAAGGAACACTTACTCATGGCCACTCTCAATAGCCAAGTCCAAGCAGTTCTTCTGGTCAGTGTTGACCAAAGAGAGATCAGCCTTCCATTCTAATAGCAGCTTGACCATGTCAACGTGACCACTGACTGCTGCAAGATGCAGTGGGGTTACCTAGTAAAAAGATAAGTTAAAAAAAGAAAAATATACACAGGAGAGCTTAGCGATCAAGCTCTACAAAACTCCATAAGAGCAGTAGTGGAAAAAGTCAATAGCTCTGGTTAAAAAAAAAATGGATCAATGCATTGAAATATCGCTCAAAGTATAGGATAAGAAACATAATAGCTTTTCTAAACAAACAAAAATAATAAATGAATTAACATTTATCTGTGACTGGAACTAATATGTTCTCTTTTGTAGGACCACTTCTGTGGAACAAGCTACCTTGTAGAATCAGAAACATTATAAATTCTGTTTACCTCGAGCTACACTAACTGAGTTTTGTATATGTTGTATAACATGTACATTTTTTGTGATTTTATTCCTAAAACTATGAATGTAACTGTATTGTATGACCTACATGCATAGTGTATCAAATTTACTGATTATTGAAATGCCTTGAGTGACATATTCTGTCAGAAAGTGCCCTAATAAAAAATCTATATTATCGTTATCAATAATATTTTTGAAATACAAGATCATTACCTTGGCTTTATCTGTTGGATCTACAGTACTGTCATTTTCTAGCAGTGCATAGGCAGTTTTCACCCATCCCTTATGGGCTGCACAGTCCAAAGGAGTCCAGAGCTGCTGGTTCCTGTAATGCAATAACAAAACAATTACCTTAGCAAAGGTCTCACTATCGCTAAGTGCGTGCGCAACATGCATCCGTAGCTAAACCAATCCAAAATTATGTATGATGAAAAGCACATACATGGATATGTAGGTCAAAAAATGAATGTACGGTACATGTATGCCCAATCTGAAGCACATCATATCTTTTAATGCATTAATCAACTGTTATTTAGTGAACTAAATGTACTTCCAGTTAAAGTACTACAGCGATGCATCGCATGAATAGTACACTAATGTATTACCTGCAAGAGGAAAACCCTACCTGAATTCAATATCAGTGCCTGCATCAATGAGAACCCCTACTGTCTTAATAGCCTGTACATAATTTCATAATGCAATTCGGTAATACCAGTCAAAGTCACCTGTCTATAGCGACCGCCCAAGGGAAACACAAAACGTGGCCTTTGTAGACAGGTGGTCTTTGTAGACAGGTTCCTTTAGTACATGTTTCAATGAGAAACTATTTTCAAGGGAAACAAAAAATGTGGTCCTTGTAGACAGGTGGTCACTAAAGCAGGTTTGACTCTACTTGGTAATGTATAAGACATCACTTTGACTTGCCTACTAATAAATAAAGACCTTGCGAGAGGTAGATCCTACCTGGATTCAATATCAGCACCTGCTTCAATGAGAGCCCTGACTGTCTTAGCATGCCCTGCCATGGCAGCCTGGTGAAGAGGTGTGTTGGAATTCTCATCTTCATCGTTGATAGTCGACTCGTCTCTCTTGACAAACTCCAATACGATCCTGCAATCATAATGGTCATGGTAAAAGTATGATAGCGATGCTAATAAATGATTTTAGAGTTAGAACATTGCACATGATGACATTTATATCACTTGTGGTAATAATATACATATAAGGATCATTAGTTATTGGTCACATTAACAGTAGAAAAAACATTAACAGATTTTTTTTTCCCTACTCTGTTTTTGGGGTGAAGTTCACTTTGTGGTGACAAATACTCAGTGGTCAACATCCCCATAAAACAACTTCTAACTTCAACACTGGATCGCTCACTATACCTAGCCCTCAACCACTTCACAGCATTGCAAACCAGACCCTAATCCTAATCTCTGGCAAAATAAAGCCAAGAGTAAATGTAGCAGGATCACTAAAATATCAAACAGATACTTGACTATTGTTAAAAAACTCTGTGGCAAAACAGGGTTAATCATTTCTGAAGTGCCGAGCAACTCTTTCTGAAGTACATGTATACTACACACATTGCGGAACTAATTGCTTTATCATAATCTTAACTTACGCTGTATGACCATTAGCAGCTGCAACATGGATTGGCGTTTCCTCATCCTCATTCTTCCAATCTAAGGCTGCTCCATTGTTTAACAGAATCTGTAATGGCAAAATCAATCAAACATAGCACATCTATCCTTATTACATTAATAATAGGTTTAGTAAGCAAAACAAAACAAAACTAACACAAAACTTACAATGGATAACTTAAAATTGACAATGTATCTCATCTTTGTATCTTTCTGATTGCTGTGTCTCATTTTGATATCTGTCGGATTGTATCTGATTTTACTGTACCCGACCTTGTCATTTTGCCCAGTTTTGCTAACTTTTGTATTACATGTGTATCTTGTAATTTATTGATTTTTGTGCGCCTTGGGTGCCATTATAGGCTGATATGTGCGCTATACAAATCTAAAATTCTAATTCTCATTCTGAAATTATCATATTTCTTTGAAACATCAAAATTACGAAGGAAAAAAAAGAAACAATACAGATGATGAGTTTCAAAATTACATTTTTTTTTATATGTGACATTATTGTGAAGCTTTTGTAGAATCGATGAAAGTGTGAGAATTTCAATGTTTCTGGCATCAGAGCTCTTTCTCAGCTCCTGTATAATATATAATATATTTTTCCATGCAAAGGAAATACAAAAGCTACTAAATAGCAAGAGAGAGACAGAGAGAGAGAAAGGGGAGACAGATATCACTATCATGCATATTGATATTCAGTTCGTACGAAATGAAACTCTAATTATGAACAGAAGTGAACTTTGACCTACCCTAACAATTCCCAGATATCCATTCTCTGCAGCAATGTGAAGCGCTGTGTTGTCATAGCGATCACTGTATTCAAGAATTTTTGAAGCCATCCGATGTTCCAGCAGAGCCTACAGAAAGGAACATTATAAACAATTATATCGTACTTGCAACTTGGTCAGTCAAAAGGAAAACATAACATGTGAAGTAAATATAAAGATTTTAATGTGATAAATACCACCAGGCCTCTTCGCATTGCATGAGAAGGTCTGCTGGTGAATCATTTAATAATGCAACTTTTTCTACCATCACTACACACTCTATGTACTACAACAATAATTATTACTAATGTTGAATGAAATTGCCCATATTTATGTACTGTTGATATCAATACTACCAATACTGTTCTTTTCAACATCATTTTTGATCATTCAGCTTGAAACCTGCAATTCATTGGAAAAAAAAGCAAGAGCAAATCATGACATATTATTATCATTGGAGTAATCTAATTTTTTGTTCTGGGAATAAATGGGAAATTAGGTCGCTATTTTATCAAATCTTATTATTTTGGAGGTGGTCATTATTCTCCTGATATATATGCACATGTGAATTGAATTGATATAAATGGCATTTAACTTAACCCTATGTAGCCTGGGGGAGGCCCCCCCCCCCCCCCCCCCCTCTACAAGTTTATGGACAATCATATGAACCTAACTTTATTGACTATACCTGGAGCGCCTCAGGCTTGTTTTCCTCGGCAGCCCAGAAGAAGGCTGTCTTGTCGTGCTTGTCTATGGCTGCAATGTTAGCTTTCTTGCCCAGCAAGACCTTGATGGTAGCACTGTGCCCAGAACTGGCTGCGATCAGGAGCGGAGTGAAGTTGTCCTTGTCCTTGGCTTCGATTCTTGCACCTCTGATGTTTTATATCATTAAAAAAAGAGAATTAAAATAGTTAAAACATTAATGATGATACTAACTATCAATCAATTTTTGGGCAACAATAGTAATTTCAAAGAGATATATGAATATGAATCGTGGGCAAACAAATTTACATTATCATAAAAGAAAATAAACAGAAACAGTCAGAAAGAGAGATATAGTTGTACTCACAAATAAACCATGATTAGGTATTGTTTGCTATATAGGGGTCACAAGTCGCTATAAGTAATGCAGTGGGACTTTAAATTAAAACAAAAGAAGAAATTAAGTAGAAAGGATTAACTACAAGACTCACTTTTCCAGAAGATGCTCCACAATCTTATGTCTATTGAAAGAGCATGCCCTGTGTATTGGAGTGGCCCTGTCTGCATTGACGCTATTCACATGAGCTCCTTTCTGCAGCAGCAGCTCTACAATCTTCAGGTTACCGGCCACACAGGCTGCATGGAGTGGGGTGCTCCTGTTGTCACGGTGGCAGTTCACGTTGGCACCTATGGTGGAAGAGGAGAATGATGATAATAATATTTCAGGACCAAAGGCCCTCTCAAGGCGCTTTACAGATACATGTATAAATCATTACCCGGTATAGGATTCAGGCTTACCCGCACACAGTGTATGCACATTCTCCATTCCCTGGGGAGCATTCCAGCCAGGCGTCATTTTTACAAGCGCACACTTGCTCATCTAACCACAACAACTTTCGCATCCTACCGGGTACCCATTTAACACCTGGTTGGAGAGTGGCAAATGTAGATCAATGATGATGATGCAAATAATAATGTGATACCCCCTGTTCACACCACCAACACCAACACAATACTGACACAAGAACGTAGACAACAGACGGAAGAAAATTGATGTTACCCGGAATGACCAAGGATATCTGTACAGTGCTTAGAGACATCGTAGAAGTATTAAGCGCTATATAAAAGCGGAATATTATTATTATTATTATTATTATTAAGGATCAGTCGTTTTGGAGAGGGTGTGGAATCAATTTGGCAGTGTTTCTGAGTTATGACAGAGAGGACAAATTAATGAGGGGGACCAGTCATAACAAATTTCCTTGCTCTGTTATAATTATATAAAAATCTTGATTGATTCATAAATATTTGTTTATTTATTAACTCTGCTACAATGTGTCCAGTAAATCACTATGGCTTTCAGAATCTATCAGGTCCCTTTTTAAATCAAGTATACAGAGTGGTACGATTTTTAAAAATATATTAAACTATTTTGAATATAAAATATTAGGGTGAATAGGAAAAACATGGAAAAGCAGTTTCAACATCATTTTTCTCCAAGAATGTGGCAGACCCTTTTAATTCCTTGGTGTCAGGATCCTTTCTGGGAAAAAAATTATATAAAAACACTTTTCCCATTTTTGTTCCTATTTACCCCAGTTCATGGTATGCCATAAATAAATGCAGGATGAAGTCGTTCTAGTTTGATGTGAATTACTATGAATAGACTGAGAAAGTCAATTATACTTACTTTTAGAAAGACAGAGCTCCACAATTTCAAAATATCCACTGTCTACAGCAAGATGAAGAGGGGTGCTGCGGTCACTGTTTACGTCGGTCAACATCTAGGATTAAAAATGGAATGAAAACATTTCTGAGTAATATGATGATTAAAATTGTTTTTAAAAAGAAATTTTCCATCACACATATTAAAGTGATTTTAATTATGTAAACTGCAGTGTAAAGGCCTTTAAAAAGGCACAATAGATTTTGTTTCCCCTTTTTTCCCTCTTACTTCTAACATATTGATTTTTTTCCCCTACCTTTCTGTTTGGTTTGGTTAATAAAAAAAACACAAAGCAGTAGTCCAAGGACTAATTGTACAATGTTTAAAATTTAAAATGTTTATAAGAATAAGAACATCAATAACACATTTATGTCAATCAAAGACCAGTCATTTACAAATGCCAGATTTATGTAACTTGTCATTGACAACAAATTTTAAGAGAAGGGTTCCCTGGAGGGGGGCATAGTGTGATGCCCTGGTTTACCTGTTCCAGAAGCCCCTGACCCTCTCCTGCTTCAAACAAGAGATTGACAATATCCAAGTGTCCCTCTGTGCAGGCAGCATGTAAGGGGGTCCCCAACTCTTCGTCGGTGGCCCTGAGCTGTGAATGTTTCTGGATCAGCATGGCCGCGATGGTGTCACTGCCGTGGGTACAGGCCATGTGAAGTGGGGTCATCATCTGCCCATCACAGGCCTGTTCACATTGACACAAAAGATGACACGATTTATATAAAGTTAGTGTAGTAATTCTAAGCGTTAAATAATTACATTTTCAAACAATACACATTATGATGATAATCTACTAAATGATATACTGTACATGCAGGGATGCCAACCTCTTGACACAAAAAACAGACTGAATATCCTAAAACATCAGATATTTGATATTTTGATTTTTGATGTGAATATAATTGGAAAGTTATTCCCAAATAAATCAATTGGCAATGAGAGTAGTATTTGCATGTAGTGACAATGATCTTTGTCATTGCTTTTACCTTTCATATTTGTTTCATAATTAAAAATTAAAAATATACAACATGCAAATACATGTACATACACATGTAGAAATATACAGAAATATTAATCGTAAACAAGATAGTAATGAGAGAAAAATAGGAAAATGAAATAAAATAAAAATGCAACAGAATTCAAAGGAATAAAATTAAAAGGGTTGGTACATGTAGGAAAAGAACCTTTAGACAGGGACATTCCTTGCTTGAGGGAATTGTCAAGGCACCGACCATGCAGTTAATACTAAAAAGTTGCAGTGTACATATATAAAAATACAAAACATTGAAAAAAACATGGGAGGAAGAAATCAGAAAAATGGGTTAGAACTTAGAAGTGGTGGGGTTTCCTTTTCAAATCTATAGATTTTAACTCACATCGACTTGTATGGTCTTGATACTGAGGAGTTCGCTGGCCGCTATGTCGTTGTCCCTAATGGCCGCCATGTGGAGCGGAGTGACGCCGTAGATGTCCTTCGTGTTTACGTCGGCTCCTTTGGATTCCAGGTAGAGGATAACACTCTCCTGCTGCTCTTCCGTTCCATTGGCAACAGTCTGTTTGAGACGAGGGGGAGAGAAGGGGGAAAAACAGAGAGAGAGTTACGTATACGTACCTGATGTTATTATAGGGAAGGTCAAGTTTTAATGAGAGTTAAAAATGCATGTACATTTAAATGATTAGCTTTCTCACTGTTTTTCATTCATAAATGAAAATATTATACATATGTTGTAAAGTCAGTTGGACCGAGTTGCTCTTGAAAAGCCCGCATACTGAATACATGTACTGTGTATAAACATATGGGTATGTTTTCTACAAATTCATTGGTCCAAAATCACATTTAACAAAAGGAAGAATTTAAGTATTAGGGACAGAAGCCTCAATCCACTACTGGGTTTAGTAGAAAACAAGCCAAATAGATTTGTTTGGAGCTTTGCACTAGATTTGGGATAGGAGGGGGGAGGGGGGAGGGGGAGGGGGAGGGGGGGAGGGGGGAGGGGGAGGGGGAGGGGGGAGGGGGAGGGGGAGGGGGAGGGGAGGGGGAGGGGGAGGGGGAGGGGAGGGGGAGGGGGAGGGGGAGGGGAGGGGGAGGGGGAGGGGTGGGCTTAGGGGGTGGGGGGCTAGTTACAAATAGAGAGAAGGTAAAGTTTTGGTAATAATATTTAGACAAGTATATTGTGAGTTTTTTTTTTATTTTTTTTATTCTTCTCATACAGTGGAAGTATTTTAGCCATGCCAGATGAAAAGGATACACCAAGCAAATACCAATAGTACTTGGACCAGATTTGGAGTGGATAGGTAGGGGTGGATGAAGAGAAGTAATAGAAGTTGGAGGCAGGCTAGAAGGTAGAGTACATGTACTTGTGGCACTAGGTTACCTACGGTTTTGAGCTTTCTCAATTTTTTATTCCAGGTGAAAGATTCAAAGAATAGTAGTGTCTGAAGTTAGAACTCGCACCAAAATTGTCTTCTTAATTTTGGTGTAGTCCCATTAAATATATCCAAATCTATGTTCAGTGCTTTTCACTGTTTATATAGATTTATTTACATTGTACAGTCAAACCTGTCTATAGCGACCACCCAAGGGAAACACAAAAAGTGGCCTTTGTAGACAGGTGGTCTTTGTAGACAGGTTCCTTTAGTACATGATTCAATGAGAAACTATTTTCAAGGGAAACAACAAATTTGGCCTTTGTAGACAGGTGGTCTTTGTAGACAGGTGGTCACTAATTAAAGCAGGTTTGACTGTACTACATTCAGACCGACTACTTGGCATTTTACCCTTTAAATGGCTCTAAATGTAAAGGACAGGATATGATGGAAATATGCAGTAAAGGATCTAAACTAGCCATTTTCTTTCTTTTTTCTTTCTTTTCATGCACAGGAAATGATGAGGTTAGAGTGTGGGTGAGCTTTTAGGATGTAGTTTAATACAGGTGCCATATATTGCTCAATTGATGATCAAGTTTCTTTCTACCTGTACCCATAGACTACACATCTACACTGAACATCTGCATTTTGTACACGAGTGTCAATTTTTTTTTAATTGACTGCTATCCACTGTAGTGATGACCGTTCTTCTTTTTCTTTGAATTATATGTTCAGTTATTTCAAATCCCTTTTCATAACTACGGTTTTCATGTATAAAATTACACATGAAAAAAAATATACATGTACAAATACATGTTCCGGTATACATGTATATACACTGTACATGTACATGTATATTTAAGAAAGTATTGACATGCAATGCACATCGAGTAGAATCAGAATTATTGGTGACTGTGTGTGAAATAAACTGATATCTCCCCACATACCCAAAACATATATTGTTCTGTTTTTGTGCTGAAGAAGTGCGCCACACTGACAACAGGCAGAACAAAAGTTATATTTCCCATATAATGGAAAAGATTTGGTCGGTCTGGAATCAATTTGGAGTCTGTTAATACCATGGTGACTAAAGTAGACTTGCCAAAACATAACAAAGCCTCCATGTGTTTAACTATTTCCTGTATACTTCCTGTTGTCAGATTTAGATTGACAGTGACTTTTTGTCATTTTCCTCATTCCTTGCTCGATGGGTTGAAAATACAGTAAATTTGAATGTTCATAATGGTTTGTTATGGACTGCATTTTGACATTCCTCACATATTTTAATTGTTGTTTTTTTTTCAATCCTACACTGTACATGCATTTTGGGGCTCTAAATTTCCTATCGACTATTCTTCAGTTTAACTTTATAGATACAGCAAATGTCCCATTATTACCCAACACTTTTGGGATTTAAATATTTGCTAATTGTTACATGTGTCTAAAATTCCAAAGTACAGGTGTAATAAATAGTTGTACAGTAGTTCAATTTGTTAAACATTCTATTATGGAAGAACTAGTCTACAAAGGTAAGTAAGAGGGGAAATGTGTTTTTTGTCTGCTGGAAATATATTTAGAAACAGGAGATGGGGAGAAAAATAAATGAGGTTGAAGATTTACAATGGATGTCATCAGAAAGACCATGTAATCTCTTTGAGATACTTTGAGACATGGTGAACTTTCTGAGATTACCAGAGCAATATCACTCATAGCTCTCCCCCCCCCCCCACACCCGTAATAGGGTACGATGCACTATTCAACATTATGAACATGGCATACATGCAATCACACTCAAGTAGAGAGCATTGAATGAATAGCACAGTATGGTATTCCAATCACCGACTTCCATGTATCTGAGCAATCATCCCTATCAAAGCCTGATTGATCGATACAAGAGGTATTCTGCTTTATGCAAAATTCATCAGGCTTTTTGTATACACTGTTAATGTACATGTAGCTGTACAAATACATGTTTGAAAAACAGCCAGTAAATGATATATATATATATATATATATATATATACAGGACTACACGTACAATGTACATGTTTATCATGTCAGCAGGCCTTTATGATTTATCATTCTGTTTGTCTTTCCTACATGTACATGTACATGTACCTGCACATGTAATATTCCTAAACTTCACTGAATATTCTCCTGCTTCTCCTGTTTTTGAATACACTGGACTCTTTCCCTCTTTATTTGTCCTAGCTCACTATAAAACTCTTGATTCTTTTATACCATTGTAAGTTGAACAAAAGTTGTTGAAAAGGTAAGACTACATGTTGTACAGTGTATACATTGTGTTTGTTAAGCCAGTTTTTCCTCTGTATACTGAAAAGCATGAATTGCATATGAATTAACGACCTAACTGAGCATTTCTTAGTATTTTATCCAAGTAGGCCTAATCTTCAGGAGACCGATTTCATGGCTATTATCAATATCACTTCATGTACAATGGGACCAGCCCCTAAATCTAGAGCCATGGCCAACGGTTACCGTATAGTTTAGGCTATCATATGTACAAGCATAAATGTACATGTACTGTAGGACCTACATGTACTGTACATGTAAATTGGAAAGTGAAAACCGTGAGAATGAGTCTTTTTTGTTCTCTTTCTTTCTTTTTCTTCCTTCTGTATGCTGAATAAATAGCTGATTAATCGCAAATAGAGTACAATGTAAATTTACTTTGCAAGGAAGAACAGACCACACCTTTTTTGTGTGTAGATTGTATTCATTGTTATGCATAGTATGGACTTTATTTGCACCTGAAAAAAACTCACGCGGAGACAAAAGGCACCATACCAAAGTCCTTCAGAAAGTCCTTCAGAAAGTATAAGTTATTTATCTGTTTCATGGATTGTCAGTGAGTCATGGATGATTGCATTGCATCATTTCCTAAACTGAAATAATTGAAATTCAAAATGAAACTAAGGGCGTGTTTATGCTTGATTTTGAAGGTAGAATGAGCGATTTGTAACGCTCATCGTAAATGCTCATCGTAATCGCAGTTCCACGGTGTACTGTTCATGCTCACTTCTCTGGCTCCTCCAGGCAATTCTCCGTGGGTGGCCTTAATTGGTCTTTCAGCTGGATTCGCAACCGTGAAATGCGCATGCTATGTAGACCATGGTCCATACGTAAACCCACTAGAGGTCAGTGCGTTGACCCCATTTAAACGCGTTTACAAATTGTAAACGCATCTTTTTGTGAGTTTACGATCGGCGATCGTGATCGCCGTTTTTCGGTGATTCTACAAAAGTGAGCATGGACGCAACCGTGTTTTAAACTAAACGCGTAACAGATGCCTGATTCTGGCCAGAAAAAGTGACGCATAAACACGCCCTAAATGTAATAAGGGCCTACATGTCCATGAAGATGTACATGTTGTTTAAATATAAAAACATCTTCTGGGCTTTTCACACACCTGCACTATCATAATAAATTGAATACCATTTATATTATATTCAAAGACTTAAGCATCGGTCACAAATGCCATTCTGACGTACGAACGATTTTCAGACAATGGAAATTCCGGAAGACAATGGAAAAAAGGGAGATTTGTACGAAATTATCCTTCGTACATACGTTTGTGACCGTAGCATTACATACATGTAGACCTGTACATGTTAAGAGAATCCTACTTCTTAGTATGAAAAAAACTATTACAAAAATTAGTTATAACAATAATAATAATGGTAATAACAATAATATAATAAATTACAGGTATATCAATTTATATTGCCAGGAGTTACATGTACATGTATACTCAAGCAGTCATCCAAATACATTGTATTTACTCTTTCAATTGAAGAGATTCACACCACTTGGCTATTTACAATACAGATGCTTGCATAACCTTGGCACAATTGTAACCCAAGGTATTTTGTGATGAAATCTAGAATTTAAAAAAATCTTATACTGTATTATGCACCCTATATTCGGTCAATATGAGAATTATTTGCTTTCAGTTTCATTTTTGTTTTTTGACTTGTACATGTAATTTCAAAGCATTGCATTGATCTGGAAGGAAAGAAAGAAAAAGGATTGTTGAAGTTTGCCAATATAAATACAAGGTACCTTAGTTGAATTTTCTTTCTTTGAGGAAGAGATGGAGCTGTTTCACATGTAATGATAATTCTTTCTGAATCAAAGAATCTGAGAAGTCAAAATATAATGAAAT